CGGGACGGTGGCAGCTGGCGGAGAAGTCGCACAGCTGTCCCGTGTGCGGGCGAGAGGGTCGTGCTACCCTCGCTGAATTGTGCTGAGATGACCCGCTGACCGCGGCCATGCAGCCTTGACGGGGTCGCTCAGGCGCGCCGGGGACGAGTCACGGGGCTCGCCCTCTCCGGAAGGGGCACTGGGGCTCAGGCAGCGGCACGTAACCTCTGCCTCTCCAGGCCAGCGGGGAGCGAAGCTATTTGCCATGGAACCCGTGACCAAGTGGAGCCCCAAACAAGTGGTGGACTGGACTAGAGGTGAGCGAGCCTTGGGGAACCCCGAAGCCCTGTCGCCGTGGGGATGGGGCAGGCGGAAAGCTGGGGAAGGGGGATCTCAGCCCCTCCTGCAGGCGAGCAGAGGCGAGAGCGCAGCGTGGTGATAGTGCAAACTTTGCCCAGTGGCCTGTGCCCCCCTGCTCCGAGCCGTTCCTTCCCGGGGCTGCAGGTTGTCGCAAGCTGAGGGGAGCCCCATCTTTAAACCAGCAAGTAGGAGTGACTTTTCTGTGGAGGGTAAGGGCTCGGGGCGGGGGCACCCTCCCTCCTTTGCCCAGACGAGGTGCCCAGCGAACTGGCTGCGGGTCCGGAGCACAGAGGCACAAGGGGCCTTTGTGTGGGTGAGTCCCGCCGGACCTCGTAAATGCCGCCTGCCCAGAGCCGTCCGCAGGCGTGACGAGGCGGTTGGGCAGGTACAGGGAGACCCCGGCGGCTGGCTGAGCCTGTCTGTTTTTGTTGGAGAAGGCGACAGGACGGCGCAAGAGCCAACACTACGGCATTCGCGCCAGTTAAGAATCTATAGTCCGGACTGCCAGGAGTCGGTGACTTGTGCTCCCCAGGCACCAGTAGCCCCGACGGCACTGCCTTTTCAGGCCACACTTAAGCACTGGGAAGAACTCGCAGGACTTGGAACCACCGTCTGAATTTGTACAGTACTTGGGAGGAGTAAAGTGGAGGGGTTGGGTGGCAATGGGCAAAGGGACAGGGTAGCCAGCCGTTGTGTGCCAGCATCTCGCTCAATTTTTAGTGCTCTCAATTTTAAGAGAGGTGGTAGAGGCTGCTAGACTCTGTGTACCCTCCCCATGGCTCAAAGTCCACCAAGAATAACCAATGGATTTTCACAAGCTTTCCCTCCACCCACCTGTCCCCTTTCAATATCTCTGTTTCAAGTTACTATTTTTGTTTCTTCTATCTGCTCTTTCAGGTGAGGAATGGTGTCCTTTCTCAATAATAATAACTAGAATTGTGTAGCGCTTTACAGTTTGCTTCTTAAGAGCCCTCTCTATGCTATTGCCCTGGGTCATCACGGTAGGCCTGTGAGGTAGGTAATACTGGTAAGATCAGGTTGTCTTTCAAACTGTCTCACCCATGGTGCGGCTTTCCGACAATGATCATCCCATTTCTCACGCCTGTGACTTACATGTAGATCACGTGGAATGGAATGTCCCTGGTGGATGGCATTTGTCAGTGGGGGATGTCTGGTCATTTCCCGCTGCTCTGGGAGAAGGGAAAGAAAATATCCTCCTTGAGAGGAGGTTTGTTGAGGGTCAATTTCCTGGATTCTCGGGTAAGATGAAGGTGAAAACACCAAATCCTTGTATGTGGGTGACTAGTTTGTCTGGGTAAAGTAGTAGCATTTCCAGCACTTGGGAGAAAACATTAACTTACTAGCTATAAATGCCCAATCTTTAGTTTGAAATGAGCTGTATGCACTCGCCACCGTCCCCTTCAAATTCTGCTACAACTTCTTGAGACCCAGTTGAGGATCTATTTCACCTGTGTGTCCACCATAAAGGCAATTCAAGACACTGATTATTTCTGCAGCAAACTGATGGCTAAAGTAGCCAGTGCCACACACAGTCCTGAGCTTCTGAAATGTGGCTAGCCAGAACTGTGACGTGCTGTGAATATGAAATACACATGCCATTCGAAGACGTGGTGTGAAAAAAGATGGCATAATAGCTAATTTATTTTTTCACCCCACGTTGAAATCATAGGATTCAGGATATTTTGGGTTAATTAAATGTATTACTAAATTTAACTTTATCTGTTTATTTTTACCTTCTTAAATACGGCTCCTAGAAAATCTATGTATGACTCCCATTCACGGATTCCGCTGTATTGCTGTCGGACAGTATTGCCCTAGAGTAAAGAAAGGGTTACATCCTACCACTCGTTGGCTTTCCCGAGCCTCTGCCAGCCTCCTTGATAATGTATGGCCCGGAAAGTGCTAACAGGCACACAGGAAGATTACGGAGTGAGGTCTTCACGCCCCTAAGATTTGTCTTTTTTTTTTTGGTCTCTCTTGGGATTGCGAGAGTAGTGCAAATTCACATCTCGTTCTGCTTGTTTAGCTTTAAAAGAAAGAAGAGATAAAAATGTGTTTTTGGTATCCAATTTCTATGGTGATCTGACTTAGTTGAGATTACTTTCATTTAGGAAAAGTTTTCTACTGACCTGAAAGAGCAACTACAGCCTACCCAATACCTTGGATACTTTTATTAGGTTACATACCTGTGGCAAGCACTTGGCAACTTTCTACAAAATGCTTGTGCCCTTTTGGATCCTGAAGTTTGCCTGGTAGAAAGACCTGGATACTTTCTGTGTCAAAATCTTAAAACAAACAAAAAGATCTAGTATATGTCTCACTCCCAATGACAAGAAGTTACATTTTGCTAAATTGCATGGCATTTCTAGAATCTCTCTTTTTCATAATGGTGTATTAAGTATTGACTTTTTAATAAACTATTGACTTATACAGATGTGTTTGCTTATAGGTCTATTTTTAGCTGTCTTTGCTAATCTTTCAACCCCAACTCCCATTTTATAAATATATCCTACTGATAAGCAGCTCTTCACGTAGACTTTGCCACTCTTGGTATTGCACGGATATGAGCAGAGATTATGAACTCTGTAGAACGCTCAGGTTTAAATGTCTTTGCTAATCTTTCAACCCCAACTCCCATTTTATAAATATATCCTACTGATAAGCAGCTCTTCACGTAGACTTTGCCACTCTTGGTATTGCACGGATATGAGCAGAGATTATGACTGTAGAACGCTTAGGTTTAAAGCTATGGGAAACCTGGCCAGCATCTTCAGCTCCATCTCATGTTGGTTATTAGACAGATGAAAAGCATTAGGAAAGAAGTTGCTATCTCCAGAATGAACTAACTCCTCTTGCTTTTCTTACCCATCTGCAGCTACACCCTCACCAATTTTACCATAATACCCTCAGTAAATATTGGTGATGCACCAGGCACAAGTCTCAGCCTTGTACAAATATCTACTCATTTAATATGCACAACCTTTCTTTGCTGTAGGAACTGTTATTTCCATTTTGCAGTTGAGGTAACTGAGGCACACAGAGTTGAAGTGCCTTAACCCGTGTTGCCCCCACACCTCGGGAAGAAGCAGAGCAGTGTTTGACCCTTGGAGGTTTGGCTTTACCCCTCCCACTTTTCCAGGGTTTCTTCCCAAGGCCATAGCTAGACCACACTATGAGTCTTCACTACACATATGTGTGGATCTTCAGGATTCTCTTGATGTGAGTTGTTCACATCGTGTGTTAGTGGAGGGGCATCGCCAAGTATGTCAATGTCTTATTGGACATATTGGGTGGGTGTCAGAGGGCTATTTGTAAATCAGATTAATTCACAGTTTATGGCACCTTGCCAGTCAAATAATTCACTGAAGGCTTTTGCAAAGCAAATGATCTTTTACAACATGTAGGGTCAGCTGTTTAACAGAGAAACCCAGTGGATTAACCAGAGGGAAGTGCTATTTTCCTCTTGTAACTGAAGTCTGGGATAGGCGATGCAGTCCTGTATGGAGGCTTCATGGTGTTGTCAGGAGCCCAGACTCCTCTGGCATCTTCGTTTGGCCATTCTGAGCATGTGGTACAGGACAAGGCCTAGCACAGTGTGTTCATTTTCATATTTGCTATTTCAGTACACGATGGCTGCTCCACCTAGGAGTGTGTCACTACTCCAGGCGGGATGAAGGGGAGCTGTGGAGGACAAAAGGTGGCGGCCATGTCTTCCCCTTGAGTCTTGGTGGAACCCCACCAAGTGGTCTGACTTCCATATCAGGTGCCAGAACTATCAGGTGGCCATCTGATATTGTAGGGGAGGCTGTCACCATATATTTCAAGTTAGGTACATGTGGCCCTGACAAAAATTGAAGTTTGGCCAGTAAGGAAAGAAGGGGAGAATAGGTTGGTAGTCATGCGGTGTCTGCTCCACAGGACTTAAATGTGCAGGTTTTTATAGATCGCTTTGAAAGTAGGACACTCGTCACAATTTCCAACTCGGCCCACCAACTGTTTTTTATAAATAGTGTTAACATTTTCATGGCTTTCAAGTTTTCTGAAGTCAAAACTTTAAATGAAACGAAGTCTTTGGCTCTAAGCTTGATTTAAATGAAAGTTTCTAAGTTGTGTTTCTGCATCAGGCTTTTAGGGGGCATCTTTAAAAATTGTGCTGTTGAGTGAGCACAGCTGTGAAATCCACCTTGCATGGCAGAATAGAAGTCTCCCTGGACAGCTGTTGGCACTGCTAGAATGCACCATGTTCCTATCACCAACTAGGAGTAGAGGGGACTTTCTTGCTTGTAAGCTGAGGTTGTGGGGCCAGGACATTTGCTCACTCTCTGGTATCTGGCCACAGCTACTGCTCTTAGGCCACAGCTTTGAGGTGCCTCACTGTTTGGTCTTGGTAGTGGGTGCTGGAGTTTCCATGTTGGTTATAGGGCTCTGGAGCCTTATAGATCACCTACCCTGCTCTGTTAGATTCTTCCTGCCACCATCCATATGGAGACCAGTTCTTTTTGTAATCCTCATTCTGGTTTAGGCTATACCTTTTCTTTGCGCTTTTACAATCACCAGAAAAGGGAGATCTTATTATTTCAGCAGCCATAGGTCCAGCCTTGACCATAGGTTTGAAAACTGTTCATTCCACTTCTCTCTTGGATTCCAGTGGTAAAGATTTCTTAATCATCGTAATAAAAGCACTTCGGTTAAAGCATTTATTATGTGGCTTATGCTATTCTAAGTATTTCATTATTGGGACTCTTCATTTAATCCCTAGAAAGCCCAATGCAGTGGGCATACTGTTATTGGCTCTTATTAGAGAATTGGAGGCAGAAAGAACTGGAGTACCTATGCAGGGGTAGGTGAGGCTGTCTTCTGTCCCATCACTCTTCACTCTAATGCTTTGTACTGGTCAGGGGAGCTTAATGGTTGGGAGTGTGGGCTCTGGACACAG